GAAAGGCTTGGCAAAGGGACAACCTTTGCTAAAGATTAAAAGGCCTTGGATGTCGTGGAGGTCCATGATCGCCCACATTCTGAAGAGATACGTTATATAGGAGAATTTAGCCTCAAGCAGGCCAAATAATTGAAAATTTCGCTCAGGAAGATTAAGTTGTGCAATTTTTTCAGGCTGCGTTGGCTTCCGTCGGAACATCGGTGAGAAATAAGAAACTATCTGAGCTACGCGACATGAGCTTTCTTGATGTTTACATCAAGAAAGCTCATGTGTTAGGCATAATGTGTTAGGCAGACGAGAACATGAAGATTGTGTTGCGACAATCTTCTAAATAGATAGAGCCCGTGTTTTGAAATCCAAGGTTCAAAATCATTGACTCAAAGATTTACCACTGGCAACCGGGATTGATACGGTGTTAGCATCGACTCCATTTTCTGTTCTTAGTTGCCACCGAATGGTATCCTTTTTTTTCTATTTTAATATTAGAATATAATTAATAATGGATCTATAGGCAAAGTTTAAGTTCCATCATTCTGACAAACAGAAACAGCTTCATATTACGAATGAAGAATCTTTTTGTTTTTTGCATTTTGTTTTTCTTTCTTTCATTTTTTGATTCCTTCACTGTTTTTTCCTTTGAAATACGTTCTCTTATTTTCTTTCGGGATTCGATCTTTATATATTGCTCTTTTTCTTTCATTTTTTTCTTTTCTTCTTTTTTCTTTCTTTTTCTTTCTTTCTTTGCTCTTTTATTATCACCTTTTTTCACCATTTCAATCTATATTTCTTTTATTATTCTTCAGTATTTTATTACTTTCTTTTTTTATTATTCTTAACTTTCTTTTTGTTTGTTTGTTGCTTTCTTTCTTCGCTTTTTCTTTCCTATTTCTAATCTATTCATTCTTTCTCTTCTGCCAACGTTCTTTCTTTCTTTCGGATTCTTTACTTTCTTTCATTTGTTTGTTTCCTTCTTTGATCTTTTATCATCACTCTTTCGTTTCCCATTTCCGATTCATATTTTTGTTTTATTTTTACTCGTAATTTCTTTCTTTCTTTCTTTCTTTGTCCTTTTATAATTTTTCAATTTTTTCTTTCTTTATTCTTTTATGATTATTCGCTTTCTTTCATTTTATTTCTTTCCTTCTTTCTTTGCTCTTTTACGATCGTTATTTCTTTCCTATTTCCGACATATATATATATATATATATATATATACACATAACTCTCTCTATCTTTCTTTCTAACAACTTTATTTCTTTCTTCCATTAGTTTTTTTTATTCATCTTTCTACATTCTGAAAGGTATATCAGTGACATCCGTATCAAGAATTTACATTTTCCCATTAAAATTGTTAGAAAAATATAAAAGAGAAATACCTGAATACTGAAAGGGAGACGATTAGAATAAAATCTCTGTTCATATTTATCGTCTGCTATTGTTAATATCACTCTATTTCTATTATCTGTGTGTGTCCATTCGTATGTCCACCTGTGTGTTCCGCTTACGTGTGTGTACCGCGCCATTTATGTCTATTTGTAAAAGTCGGCGTCAACATTAATCTTCACTCATTTTATTTTAGCTTATCATGAAGAAACAAAATGATTAGTCAAGAGCAAAGAAATGGAGACATATTTATTTTCGACTAAACAATAAAATATCAAACTTTTTTTTTCTTTTTATATAAATAATCAAAGCGTAGAATGTCTTTGTTTTTGTTTCATTAAATCCAGCTCATAAAATACACCGAACCGATTTTATTTTCTTTCTGTTCAATGAAGATTTGTTCCGATTTACAATGTTTTGAATTTCGAAATGAAAATAAATCAATAAGTCAAGTGAGTAAATCACGACATTCCAAATAAAATAGCCCTAAAAATCATTTAAGAGAAACGGATCCTATCGTGTCATAATGTGTAGCATCCTGTAGAAAGAAAACACCTGTAAAAATCAGCCATTGAAGGCAGACCATTTATGAATGTAATCTAAATGTTTATTCGGAAATATTCTTTATTCAAAAGAATTGGCGTCAGAAAATAATATTTTTGAAATCTGATCAAAATATAAAAATAGTTTCTCTGAATAATATTGTACGGAAATTCTGTTTTCGTCGTACTGAGGTAAATCTATAAGTCCACGGTCAAACAATGAAAAAAAACAGACATATTTTTTACACATTAACATTTATTTTTCAACTTCCTTGTCAATGCACTTAATTCCAGATTGAATAGTAATAACATAAACTGAACAATATACATTGAAATTTTCAGATCAAAATTCAGGTTAACCTTTATTTTTCCTGCATAACCTCATGAACTTCACTTCTTTCCATTTCTTACTCTCATACAACACCACATTGTAACCCTCTACCGTGAGTGACTCTTAGGCCTTGTATTGGGTGAATGTTAGTATATACAGAGTGATGCAGAGAGGACGGACATTTTTGAAATGGCTCTTATTCAAAAAAGAGGTACGTCCTCTCTACATCACCCTGTATATAAAAAAAAACTGTGTCAGAGCACGTACTTATTGATCTGTATTTAAAAAAAAGGAGATTTAGTATTACAGATAGGACAGCGGCGAGGAAACGCTAGAAATTAGTTTTCTAGAATTTTTCTCAATTTCTTTTAGTAGTTTATGCCTTTTAGGACAATGACAACGTTCGGTATTATCATCGCTTTCCCTTACCGCTAGAAATATTCAATAAAAAAAAAAAAATAGGTCTATCAATGTGATTGAGCAGTAAAAATGGTGGACAGTTATAACAAACGCCAAAACCTTTGATCCATATATCAGATTAATATAAAACTAGAGCCAAAATTCAACTGTAGATATTTTTTCAATTTCCTCCTTGTCGCTTCGACAACTGCTTTAGACAACGATTGTGTCGGAAGAAAACTTCGTACCATTTTTAAGTGAATTTTAAAGAACCTATTTAGATATTTGTGGATAGATTCGCTGATCCACACCTATACCATTTTGTTCCACTAACTTATCCCATCTTTGAGATAGCTTCATGGTTCCTTTCTTCTTAATCTTAGCATCTTTATAGCTTTATAGCTTGTTTTTACAGTATTACAGACTATCGAAGTTCTTCCCATTAAGAAAGATTTGCAGGGGTCAAATAAATCGTAATACGAGGGTTCAGGCTCAGGTGAGTACGACAGGTGTAATAGGACATCCTAGTAAAGCTGTCCTAATTTCGGTCTAGATTGCAAAGAGATGTGAAGACTAGTATTATTCAGGTGGGAGACGGCACTTGGCCAATTCCGTATGCTTTTTCATCGATTGCTCCTTTAACAATTGGGAACAGCACTCGTCTTATTTCAATTTCTCCATGACGGTTTTCAATCCACATTGCCATAAACAATACACTTTTCATCGACTGTGATCGTTCTTTTAAAAAATTGGTCAGTTTTGTTGCGATTGGGCAGAGAACCTCAGATGAAAATGTAGTTCATTAATTATTTCCTTTAAGTTGTTTTTCATCCGTTAAATTTTGAGGCTTCCAAATATCTTAAGCGATTCACGTATCCAAGTGTTTGCAAATGCATTAAAACGCTCAAGTGAGTAATTTGGAGTATCTCTGCGATGTTCCGTGTCGTGTGACCTGGCTTATTTTTAAACGGCGTTTCGATTTGGTCATCTTCAGTGACTGTAAGCCTGCCGGAAATATTTCAGTCTTCCAGATTCTGAACCGAGTGAATCCCTTACGAACAGTGCTCTCGGCTACAGCACCATCCCCATAAACGGCACATATCTGTTTTGCTGTTCGCACAGCGTTTGTTTTTTTTCTTTTCCGTGAATAAAAGGGTATCAACTGACGAAAATGTATCCCATTTTCCTTCATTTTCCCTTTTAACAAAAAAATAATTTGTAACGTCACCATTCAGAATATGTATATATGCTAGAAATTTCAGTCGTGAATGAAACAAAATAACATTTTTAAACGCCCCCCCTTCATGAAGTCGAGTTAAAATGGAGCAAAGTTTCACGTTTCAAATTGCCAGCAAGAGTCAAATATTTTGTTTCCAGACATCGGAATCAACAAGGGATGAGATTATTTGTTTCCTGCCTCAAGAAGTTCGACTGAGAACAATAAATTTATCATTGTTTCAAGATGTCAACGGGTAAATATTTTTAGCCTTTTTCTACTGAAAAACTAATCTTGTTATTTTATTGATATTTCTTAATAAAGTTTTCTTTCTCTCATTCTCTTAACCCCTTGCATCTTAGTGGCCTTATTGCCTTGATGGGAGTGAAATGATTAAAAAAAATGAATGTAGTTTTATTTGTGCTTGTGTTGGTTCTTAAGTTTTAAAAAAATGTTACCAATCTTGCCTACATCCGAAAAGTTATATAAGTTCCTGATTGCCCGATGGCAGGCGCTATAACTTTAGCAAATCAACCATATTGTGAACAAAGTTTAAGTCCGCAATATGGTTGATCACCCGTTCCCTATAAGAATATAATTTATAAACAATGATCAGAAAGACGAATTTGCATCAGATTAAGCCAGATGATCTTATAAGGTATTTACTAATCTTAACCTATTCTGGCACAAGGCCAAAATGTTGAGGCGGAGTTCGAGGTTAACTCCAAAGCATTGAATAATTGCTTGATAAGCATTGTTTGGTGGGAGGACTCTATAAAGAGGATTAGGCCATGACTCCGAAATAACTAATAAAATACGCCAATATCCGTCGTACCTTGTAAGTCGTGTGAGCAGTGACAGATGTCAATTAGGGTTGATAGAAATTAGGAATTACAAAAAGCGATATAATCGATTGGGATCGAATTTTGATCTCTTTCCCCTGTATCACGCAATGCCATTTTTTTTTTATTGATTCTGATTCTGTGACCATTAAATAAATGGACCATAAAGCGGTAGTCGGATAATAATGTGATTTTAAGTTGCATTGTGTCTGCTCATCACGGAGGGAAAACAGAAAATAGAATGGATTAATTAAAATGATTTCATTCACAGGCATGCACACTCGGGCTTACGACCATATCACGTTGAAACACCACTTCTCGTATGATCACCAAAGTTAAGCAACGTCGATCCTGGTCACTACCTAGATGGGTCACCGCTTGAGAATATCAGGTGCTTGGATGTGCAGTTTTGTAATGGATAACTTCTCGGAATCGGCAATTGGAAGACCGAGTTCCAATTCCAGTCGGGTACGTTATAGTCACTTACGCACAAATACCTTTGGTTACGGCATGGATCCACCTCTTCTCCTCCACCCCACTATGGATTAAAATGTCTATTGGGCATTAAACTCAGCCCAGACCTCGGGGAACTCGTACATGCGATTCATCGTTAAAGGTGCCGGAAAAATGGTCAGTTCACTGTACCGCTTCAGTAAGTACCTGACTCCTCGTGCTAACTTCTGCCTTTACAAGAGCCAGATCAGACCGAAAAATGAAGCACTGCTGTCTTATTTGCCCAGTCTTCACTTTCTAATCTCGATAGAGGCCAAAATATTTTACACCCTGCAACATATTCTTTGCTATTTCCATGGAGAATGTTCAGACGAACTAGTTCCACCAGTTTTAAACCTTCATGGCTAGGACCCGCCATGACACACATAGAGAACCACCCTCATTCCCTTTGTATTCCATTAGTGAGATGTAAGTTCCACTGGGGGGGGGGGCTTCATCATACGACCCACTGCTTTGTGGAATCGAATAGGATGCTTCCCCGATCACCACAATCTTCCCCTGTTCAAGTCGATGGTCAACCGTTATATTTCCCACATATTCCCATAAGCTGTGCCTCTTTCTCTGTAACGTCGGATGGTGTTTGGGCCTTGTACAGGGTAAACTCCATTGTAGCGAGCCACTCTCATTCCCTTCCTATTCCATTGGTGAGATGTAAGTTCTACTGGAGGAACTTCTTCCTACGACCGGCTGCATTGTGGAACCGATTCCCGAGAGGATGCTTCCCTCATCATTACAATCTTAACTTGTTCAGGTCTAGCATCAAACTGTTATCTTCCTCACATATCCCTAAAAACTGTACCTCTTACTTTGTAAACCTCTACCTTGAGTGGCTCTTGGGTAATTTAGAGGCTTTTTTTAAAAGTGTATGCCCCGTATGACAGATGAGTGTCAGTTTTTCTTATTTATTTATAATTATATTAATATGATTATCAAAGTAAAAATTATTTAAAGTCGGATTAATTTCCCAATCTTTGTTGTTAGCATCGCATCACTTCGGCCGTTATGCGTTCCGGCCTTCTTCAAGTGTTCGTCTATCCGGTAATCATCATGTGAATTTCTCCCTGAAGTAGATTAAAAACTCATATGAATTTATTCATTTTTGATATTGTAAGTTTTCGGCCTTTACTTTGCCGTGGGTGTTTTTTTTTTTTTTTTTATCGAGTCAACATTTTTAGATGGATTGCGAACCAAGTCGAAGAACTTCTATCTTGCCATGAGGTGACGAATCGAATGAGCTTAGTCATCGACGGCTTCCGACCAATTTTCTGTATCCAAATTAATTCACAAGGTTTAGGTCAGCATGTGGCATGGTTTGCATTTACTTCACAGCGATTTTCATACGCGATCAAGTAGTCACCTTCACAAATCCACTATTGTGAGATTCGAACCAGGGTTTCATGTTCGGAATGCTAATGCTCTAACCGGCTAGCTTCCAGGGAAGCTCGAATGGAACCTATTCTTCAATTTACGAGGCTAGATTTTTTTCTCGTCCCGCTGTCCGCGGCTCTAGGGATATTTTGTCTTGGTTAATTATTTATTCATTTTTAATTCCGTTTCCAATGAGATTGGATAATGTCTGTGCTGTGACGCTCAGGTTGGCTGTTTGGTTTTATTTAGCGGCATATCAACCTCTTTAGATTTCTGAATGCTGAAATGTAAATATTTTCTATACAGTTTTTTCTTGCAATAATAATGATTTTAGTGATACACATCTTGCTAATTAACCCATAACTGGGAGGAGAAAAGATGGAGCCATACATTTCTCAAGGGCTTTTGCACATAACTGAATATAACGAACCTAAATGGAATTGAAACACGGTCCTTTGATTAAAATTTCCGAATCGTTATCCAATTATACCAGACGCAAACCCAAGCCTACAGGACCTGGTATTTCCAAGCGGTCACACTTCTTGGTACCGACTAGGCTTTATGATGCTTAACTTAGGCGATCATATGGGAACGGTGTGCTCAGAGATTGAACTCACAATTATTACATCACGAAATTCACTAACCAGCGTTTTAATTCACTAACCAGCGTTTTAATTCACTAACCTGCGTTTTAAGCCTGTAGACCATTGTTCTATTAGAGACGTTGGTTATTGAATTTGGTGACATTTGCGTAAGTGAATATAACAAACCCAACTAGAATTGGAATTCAGTTCTACTATTACGTTTGGTTAGTAAAATTGGTAACCTTTGCAGGAAAATGAACACGAAAATTTTTTCGGTCTTTGGAGATTTTCCGTTTTCAGAAAATCGGATTAATCACATTCGCTTTTCAGTGTTATGCACAGAATATCGCTGTCCACATAGGATATTTACGATAAATTTATTTTCTTTTTCCGTCCTGAGTATAACGATAGACTACATCCGGCAGCATGAACTCTGATCGGGAGGTTTTGAGGAGCGTAGAATCCCGTCATAATTGCTGTTGTTTCCATGTCCACTGACCCGGGGTGGTAGCACCAGTGGGGGTCCCTGTTATGGGCAAATAGTTAACCCGAAACTGTAATCAGAACCATATGAAAGTATAACAATTTTTTTTTAGTAAAAATATGGGCAATACATTTTCATATTAAAGCAATTACCATCAATATATTTCTGTACGGAAAAAAATTACCAACAATATATTTTTGTAAAAGAAATTGCTAATGCTTTCAAGAAAATTAAATTTTGCTATTAAATGACCCATAAGGAGTTGATATGCCCTTAAAGAAACAAACAATATTTTCTTAAGATGAGCATCAACCAATAAAGGCTTAATTTGATATGGTTTTTAATTTCATACGAAAGATTTTGGATTGACAAGAAGACGAATAAATATTGAGTAGCGAAAATAAATCATGTAAAGTCGTCCCCGGTGAAGAATAACCAGAGAGTTTATATTGCCTTTTTATAATTAATGAAATACGATAATCATCGCCTTTTTCCATTGACGCAAGTGTGAATTGGGTAAACATTTGAGATTCAAGATGGACATACGAGTTATTTATGATGAAGACTGGCAATCTGGCGTGAGATGTGTGTTTTCATATTAAATTATTGATTGATTATCCTAGAAGCCACCCTTCTGGCGGACTATCGGCTAGCACCTGAGGACGGCTTTTGGGCCTTCGGCATTTACCTTCAGCGTTCTATGTGTGTAAAAATTATAGGAATTTAGAAATAATAAAATTATTTTATCTTTATCCGACGCATTAATTCGGCATAATCTTTCTTCGTATACGCAACCGGTCTCCGTAGTTTATTTTGTGCTCAATTTTTATTTACTTTTAAAATCACCATTCTTTATGATCCCTTCACATGAAGTCACTCTTAAAAGTTATTAGGGAACGCAAACTATATAATATTTCGTATACGTCACAGTACGCGTGCTCAAAAAAGAAAGAAAAAAATATGAGCAACGTACCGTGCCCCGCTTAAATTTAACTTTAAATGAGTTATTTATTTAATTTTTAATCGCGTGTAACTACAGTAGTTACGACCTGTTACTTTAGGTTGTTTATGATTCGCCGAGATCAAAAACAGATGGACGGACGGACTGAGCTTTATTTATAAGAAGAAAGTTAGATAAAAGAAGATTAATTTGAAGAAAAAGTGGTGTCTTTATTGGGTACATCTTTTTTTTTTTTTTAATTTAGGCTAGTAAAATAATAATAATAAGTAATCGATGAATATTAATATTTGTATTGTTCTCGTGATTAGCGTTTGAATGAATGCGAACGGGCCAGTGAACAAGAGTACGAATTACGCATGCGCTTCTGCGTTTATTCGACGCGCATGCGTAAATCCCGAGATCGAAAATCGAACGGACAGACGTACATTGCGCTTTATTATTATAGAAGTCTCAAATCGTAGTTTTGTGATCATATATACGAGATTTGAATGAAGACAATCGTAAAGTTAAGGCTAATACCAGACACTGTTAAATATTCATTACCGAGAGAAATAGTAATCTTCACAACGAATTATCTAATCGGCGATTAATCATTCACCCCGTGAAAGTTTCCAAAGTCAAGCAAATTCAGATACTTATAACAGTGAGTCAATAGATTCGCGGTCTAATATTGTCATGAAGAATATTATGATCTGAATTTTTTTTACTGTACCGGGTGTGCCAGTTAATTGAGAACAAAGTAATGGCAATTTTAGCTGTTTCCTTATAAGGAAACATTCGGCATTCATTAACCGATCAGCCAGTGCTGCTTTCTGTTGAACTTTATAAAATCCAATTAAAAACATTTAAAAAAAAAGAAAAAAGAATAAATAAATAAAATAAAATAAATAAAAAAATAAAAAATAGTTTCTCAAATCCATTAACTGCTATTGCTCTTTCCAGCACTGATGGTGGTGGGGGGGTTTCCTTTCTAATCTTTTGATTGAAGTAGTGCGGAATATCAACAACTTGATTATGTTGTTATTTTCTCTTTGAGTTACATGTGCTATCCATTTTAGTTGTTGCTGCTGTTGGTAGTCCTCAAGTGATGTGGTGTCTTTATTGGGTACATCTTTTTTTTTTAATCATTTCACCCCAAGCAAGGCGATAATGCTACTAACACGCAAGCGGTTACTGCGTATGGAGAAAAATTAGAAGATTTGTAGGGGGCAGGGAAGGGAGAAATCGAAAGACAGTTCTACAGGCGAGAAGTGCGAGAAAAGGAACTATTCGAAACGAACTTCCTGTTACATCTAGCTATTTGATATTTGTTATTTGTGATTCTGTAGCACCAGTCAACGAGGTTCGAAGGAGGGTCCTCGATAAGACCTATGTACCACATCTCTTGATGTTCGATCATGGCCCTCCACAACATCCAATACATTTTAGCCTTTAAGAACGTTTGTCCCTTTGCCAAACCTTTTGTTTCCGTTCTACCATCCATTTT